TATGTCTATTCAAGCGAACTCTACGACTTCTTAAAGTCGATCTTACCCGCAGGAAAGCCCGCTGATAATAATATGTTGTTTCTCTGGGACTGAAATCAAAGTTACAAAAAAAAAAGGCGCCATAATTCCGATTTATTCTTGCTTAGTATTCTTGTGCAATGTTTTGTTTTCTCTAAAAACTGAAAGGGATTATTTGTGATTAACACATGTGCACTTTTGAATGAAACAACGGAGCTACGTTTGGCAATTTCGCTCTGACGAAGGGCTAACGCTCGAAATGTCAGCTTTTTTACCCTTTACGGTGGCTAATTTACGTTTTCAACCCAGTTGTTAACACTAAATTACCTGCTATACTCTCCCACCGACGCAGCACCACAGTTTCTTTAGAAACTTACCCCTTTACGTTTGGCGAGGACTGTCACGACAAAGTTTTTCTCAAAAACAGTCAGAAAGTATTATTAACTCTCATCGACGATTAATTAATGTACGAAGATTATGATTTACCTCTGTTCGGTAAGTAAATGGCAAGGAAAGTAATTAAAAGGAAATTCGATTTTTTCTTTTGAAGTTGTGAGAGTTTGCTCGTTTTTTTTGCTGCAATGGTGTGTGTAAATCGGGTCTTTCCTCCACAAAAACTACATTCGAATGAGACACTTCAATTAGACACAAGGGGATTTATGCAGCTCTTTATAATTTAATTGCTTCAGTTTCTGCTTTGCAATTTACGGTACAAATGTCCAAATTGAACAGACTTGGAAAGACTTACCGAAAGCGTATATTTGTTGTAGAACTGAAAACTTCGCTCGCTCTTTTACTTCGAACAAATTGTTTGAGGGAATTCACAGTGACTCTCTTTACCCAAGAGCATCGATGTAAACTTGAAAAATGTCAAGAAAATTTTACGAATTCGATTAGCATCCCGTTCAGGGGCAGCGACAGAACCTTAATTCACATCATGCTGAAGGAAACCGGAATTAGAGATCCGGCAGTGTGAACGGCATGCCTTTCTCAAGAATCAACCCATCCAAAATATTATTTTAGATTTGATTCCCATTTGATTCAATCTTTATGAGATTTGAGATTTCAGTAAATCAATCAAAAAGAGTAACGTTTTTTTCCTGTTACAGATATTTTACGACATGAACAGACTTCTGCATATGGCGCCTGTCATGCGTAATGCCCCAACATTTCGAGGGAGTCTTGACTATGATGTTCACGGAAAAAATTGTGCAGACATCTTCTGTGTCCTGCCACAATGCGTGAACTTTAAGTTGCAAACCAGGCATGTCAGCACATCTCGAAAAGACAAACCTGACAGTCAGGCCGGTGGGGCTTCGGCTGACACGACTGCGAACATCTTGCAGAACAGTAATAATGATAGCAATGTAGCGTCCTTAAGTCCAGCCATTCTAGATCATGATGCAGAGAAACAGCTCCTGGATGAATTAGAAGAGTATGAGAGGTTTTTGGAACGACAGGTAGCTGATATGGCCCCACAGCCTGGTTTCAGTGGTCGTTTTGGGATTGAAAAGCAGACGACCTCGTTTCCCCTTTATAACCCAAAAGAGGATTGTCAAGTTCCTCGACAGACAGATTCGTTGCACTGTTACAGCCCAAAAAGGGATGGCCAGACTCCCGGCGAGACAGCGAGAAACCATCAACCTTATTCCCGCGATTACGACGCAAAATTTGAGGGGAGGAGATCTACCTTTATGAAACCTTCTAATTCCGCGGTTAGGCTGAATAAGGAATCTGACGAAGATCCTTTCTTTCCAAGTTTCTATGAGCAGTTTGCATCAACAGATCAATTTACTGTCCCAGTAAAAAGGTCAGGGGACATTCATGCTGCTAAACGCACGCGGAAAGATTCCTCTATGACGAAAACCATGCCAATACCAGCCACCATCGTGCGGGAGAAGACTGCTTGCCACTTCTCGAGCGCCTCAGAGCAATTTCTTGGCACACATTCCGACCCTAGCCGAATGGTGTTTGGAATCCTCGCGCAGATATTGCATATGTTTGAAAAACCCATGTCTGCTGAAGCTGAAACATTTTTTGTCCATGTTCTTCAAAAGGCACTCAGAGAGATACAGAATGTAACGTCACGAGAGAGCATCAAGTGAGTTTACTATAGACCCGCGGCAAGAGTTTGTAATATGAAGTTGTAGATTACTGATATATTTTCATTGTTCTTGATGAGATTGGAGACTCCGGTTCGATCTGTACCAATGTGTCAATTTTTTTTGTTCGCGAAATCTTGAAAATATTTTTTGTAAATTGTAAAAAGTGTTGCATTAAATTACATTGAATAGATAAAAAAGCAGATTCAAGGCTATTATACTTCAAATTCAAGTTGTACAAAACTTGATATCCTAATGAAAATGTTTTTCAGTAAACAGATATTTCGGGTTTAGCTCACCAATCAAGAAATCGGTCGTTATTGATGTTATGGTTCAACGGGAAAAAGGCGACAGTGCTTCGACTAGCAATGCAAAGTAATTTGCATATATTAATAAAATACCTCGGGGGAATATCCAAATTATGAATGCCACGTTGGGCCTACCCCTTTCAGCTCTACTCTAGCCCGCCGTTTAGATTGGATCCAGCTGCTTAGCTGGCACTCCAAAACCCGTTTCCTCGCTTCATGGCTGTACAAGTGCCTGCTCCTCCGGCGCCAAACCAAGTGCTTGATGTTGTAAATATCGCTCCAGCATCAGCAGTACCAGCTCCTGTATAACAATACTCATACTAAATAACAATACTCAGGTAAAGGTAAAGTGCCCCAGCAAGAACATAATAGCGGAGCTCGCAGAACGTAACCCCATAATTGCCCCCGCAGGGTTTTTGGCCCCAGAGGGCCAAAAACCCGAGGAGGC